ACAGGGAGCAGGTCCTCACTGAAGAGACAGAGAGACAGTGAGATAGAAGTGAGAAATTACCTCCCTGGGGGTATGGCAACGCCGCAATGCTTTCTCCTCCATTCTCCTTCTGGGATTTTTGGGCATGCACGCACGCATGCCTGGCATGAGTTTTAAGTCACTGGGTCTGGGAGTCAAACCACAGTTGGTCAGGAAGCAGCAGTTAGTGTAATGGCTATGTTGCTGGACTCCCATGTAGTCGACCGCAGTTCGCATCCCGGACCTGGTGGCTTAAAACTCACGCCGGGCGCGTGTGCATGCGTGCGTAAGATCCCGAGAGGAGAATGGAGAAGGGATTGTGGCGTGGCCATTCCCCCTGGGGGGTGATTTCTCGCTTTCTGTCTCTATGTCTCTCTCTGTCTGTCTGGCGAGCATACGCACCCTATAGCGAAAACCTTTCAAAAAAAAAAAAAAAGAAAAACACAGTTGGCCATGTGGGAGTCCAGTGCCTAAATCACCATGCCACCTGCTGGTCCTAGAACAGCATTTTTTAAAAAGAATAATTGAATTTTTATTATTATTATTGACCAGAGGGAGAGAGAGAAAGAAAGGGAAAATGAGAAAGCAAGCTGCAGGGTCTGAGATTTGAACCATGGTGGGCCATGAGGGAGTCTAGCACTTTAACCACCATACCATCTGTCAGTCCCCCAGGAACAGCATTCTTAACCTTTTTGGTCTCAGAACCAGCAGATGATTTAACGGTTATGTCGCTAGACTTCCACATAGTTGACCATGGTTCACGTCCTGGACCCGGTGGCTTAAGACTCATATTCATATAGAAAGCATGTGTGTATGTCCCAAATATCCCCAGAGAAGAATGGAGAAGGGAAGACAGTGTGACCATCCCCCTTGAGAGATCATTTCTTGCTTTCTATCTCTGACTCTTTGTGACTGCATGAGTCCTATAGCAAATAAACAACAAAAAAACCCTTTTTGGTCTTCTTTACACTCAAATTACTGAGGACTCCAAAGAGTTTTTGTTTTTGTGGGTTTTATTAATGATTATTATACTAGAAATAAAAACTAAAATATTTTGAAACTTCATTTTTAAAAACAATGAACCCACTATATGGAAATAACACTTTTTTCCCCCTTTTTTTGGAGAGGTTTTTGCTATAGGGCATGTGCACTCACCAGAAAGAGAGAGGCAGAGAGACAGAAAGCGAGAAATCACCCCCCAGGGGGGATGGCCATGCCGCAATCCCTTCTCCTCCATTCTCCTCTCAGGATCTTGGGCACGCATGCACACGAGCCTGGCTTGAGTTTAAGCCACCAGGTCCAGGACTCGAATTGCAGTTGCTACATGGGAGTCTAGCAACATAGCCCTTACACTAACTGTTAATCCCGAATAACACATTTTTAATGGGAAAAAATTATCTCCCAAAACAAAAAATATTTAGCAAGAAATGTGGCACTGTTCTCACTTTTCTTATATACTGCAAGTTTCTTTTTTTAAAAAACTATTTAATTTTGTTATTATTATTTTTTAACTTGACCAAAGAGAAAGAGAGAGAAGGGCAAAGTAAGAAAGCAAGCCCCCAGGTCCGGGACTCAAACCACAGTTGGCCATGTTGAGGCCAGCACCTTAACCACCACATCACCTGCTGGACCCTATACTGCTTATTTCTTAAAACATTTCATATTGCAAATATCTTTATTGTCTGACTTAAAAGAAGGTAACTAGATTAACACATCTGCTTGTTATGACTGAATATTTCTGTCTCCTTAAAATTCACATGCTAAAATAGTAATACTTGGTAAAATGGTATTAGAAAGTGGGTCTCTTAGAGGTAAAGGCCTAAGGATGTAGCACTCAGGAATGGGATTAGTTCCCTTATAAAAGTAACCCCAGAGAGCCCTCTAGTGTTCTCAGAAGAGAAATCCATAGTCTATAACCTGGAAGAAGGCCCTCACCAGAACTTGACCTTGCTTGGTAAGCTGATCTGATTTCCAGCTTCCAATCTCTGAGAAATAAATTTCTGCTGTTTATAAGTCACACAGTCTACAGTACTTTGTTATAGCAGCCTCTAATCAAAACACTGCTTTGATAATCGATGTGTTTTAATCATCACACATCATGCATATAATCTCTGAAACAGTCTTAATGTTCATAAGAAGATGAGAATGAAAATATTAATGTCTTAGTCGTATTATAAGAATAGTTTTCAGGGTGACGTGGTGGTTAAAGGTGCTGGATTCTCATATGGCTGACTGTCGTTTGAGTCCCAGACCCAGTGGCTTGCTCTCTGGTCAAACTGAAATAAATAAATGAATAAAGTTAAATAAAAAAATTAAAAAATAAGTTTTGATTGGGGCAGCCTGTGGTGTGGTGGGTTACGTGGCTGGATCCTGTGTACTCAACCATGCAACTTAAATCCTGAGCCTGAAGGCTTAAGAAATATGCCACACAGTGGTTAATGTGTATGGGGGTGCCCAAAATCCTGAAAGGAGAGAGAAATGGAGAAGAGACTAGAGAGTGACCATTCCCCATAGGGATTGCTTTTTCACTTTCCTGCTTATTCTCTCCAGCATGTGCACATGCCCTCTGGCAAACATTTAAAATAATAACAGTTAATTTTGATCATGTAGGTCCTGAGTCTCAGAGATTCCTCAGGTATTCCCTCACATGCTGAGAACCACTTCTGTATAGTACCCTACCATGGAGGACATTCAAGTTGTTTCTATGATTATTTATTGAGTGCCTGAATTATATTTCAAGCATGGAATTAGAAAAACTTTATTCATTTATTTGTTAAGCCATCAAAATCATACTATCTACCAAAGGCTTTCTGTCCTATTTATTCTCTTACGGCAAGCTAACTTCTTCACTGATATTCAATGTAGAAAACTAAACTAACCAATCAGAGCTTAAGACAATCTGGTATCTCTTTACACATTTAGTAACAGCAATAGCTGTTCTATTTTAGTCCCTATTACGTGTAAGCGGAGAACATACAAATGTGGAGCTCAATCTTATGAGATCCTAAACTGCCCCTAGATATCATTTATCTCAAAGTACAGATCATAACTCCCATAAAAGGAAAGTTTTCTGGTATTTCAAGTCAGATCATCTTTCACCTTATTTATTAAATCACCCTGATCTTCTTGGCACAAAATCCCTATTAAGTCGTATAATACTATCTGAATTTTTCTTAGGACATTTCTCACATTTTACCTTTTCTTTCCAATGTATTAGAAATTAATTCCTTAAAGTAAAAGACCTCATCTTTACATACTCCTAAAGCCTAGTCAATTCAGAGAATTTATCAGGTATTTAACCAATTAATAAATATATTTCTAGCTTCTATAAACTCTGACGAGTTGCTTTAAAATGAATAAATATGATATGTTGAATGACATTTAAAGGAGATCTTTAAATAACTAGAATTAAATATTCATTTGCCGTAGCTAAATTTGTCATAAAATTTACTCAGGTTTAGCTATTCAAGAAATTATTTCTTGGGACCACCAGTTAGCGTAATGTCTATGTCACTGGACTCCCATGTAGTCGACTGCGGTTTGAGTCCCAGACCTGGTGGCTTAAAACTCACGCCGGGCGTGTGTGCGTGCATGCCCAAGATCCTGAGAGGAGAATGGAGGAGAAGGCACTGGACATTCCTGCATGGCCGATCATGGTTTGAATCCTGGACCTAGTGGCTTGCTTTCTCACTTTCCCTCTCTCTGCTCAAATTAAAATAAATGTATGAATAAATAAAAATTAAATACTTATTTTTTAAAAAATGAAATTATTTCTTAAGTTTATTTATTTGTTTCTTCAATGGGTGAGTGAATGACTCAGAGAGAGAGAGAGAGAAACAGCACCTCCAACAGAGGCTCTTGACACTGCAATCTAGCCCCAGTCTTACCCAGCACCAGACCATGGCACATGTGCACCTGGTATATTGAGAACAGTCTCTGGACACAAACCCAGAACCTTCCTATGTGGGTTAGCCTGACAGAGCATTATGTTTTACCACCATGCCATTGCCCAGCCCCTTCAAAAAATTCAAGAATCTCAGATATCGACTTAGAGAATATGTTGGCATACTTGGTGTCAATACACAGAATTCTGTTCAATCTACTGCTTATGTTTTTCAACATACAGAATAAAAACCGTCTAGAATCTAGGTTGTCACATATTTTTTAATGTAAAAAAGATTCAGAGTTTATTTGAACAGAGGTTTATTCTAAAACACTAAATAATTCCTAGAAAAGTTAATGAATCATATACAATTAATAGTGTTCAGTTATTGCTTTTGATCTATTTTGGAATGAGATGGTTATAAATAAATAAGCTTCTAGATTATCAAAAGTAATTGTATATGCAGCATTCAAATTATATCAAAACATTCAATTCTGAGTGTCAACTTTGGAGGATTTAACAAATCCTAAAGGTCATGGATGATAAGATAAACAGTCTATAGGTGATTTTCCACATAAAGGGTTCTCATATAAAAATGGACTATACTTTCTATAACTTGACAGAACCAACAGACAGCATGCTTTAATTCAAATTAAGAGAATTTCCTAAGTAGAGGTTGTCTCCAACATTGGAATAAGCTGTCTTTGATATGGTATGTGCTTTCCTTGAATACATTTAAGCTGAAGTTAGTCAGTCATCCATCAGACTATTAGAAGAACAGCCCACTGGGCAGGAGATAAGACCTCGTAGTATGCAAGATCCTCTGTGATTCTAAACTTTTAATATAACTTAAGACCATTTATAAACTGAAGTTTATATAAAATGATGTAATGCTTTTAAGGAACAGTGCTACCTGCTTTTTAAGATAACTTAAGTTTTTAACAGGTTTTTAAATCTTAACAAAAACCTGAGCATAGAAACAATAAAAATAACAAGGGATGTTGATGTATTTTCTCCATGTTTTAAGTACATGCTAAAGATATTAAACCATGAACCACAAACAAAAGCTTTTTTATTAAAGCTTACTTTGAAAACTTACCAGAATTCTGTTGGATTCCCCACCTCACTCTCATCCTGAATTGCCGGACACCACTTTGCTGGAGTCTTCTATTCAGTTTTGGAAAATTCTGCTTCTTTCCTTCCTTTCGATTCAATTTGATGATATCATCTATGACAGAAAAAAATGTTAAGAATTATTTTCACTTTAACTTAATGACTTACTGGTCTTATTTTCTTCCTTTTAAAATTTGACCAGAGAGGGACAGAGTTAGCAAGAGAGAAAGAAGGAAAGAGAGAGCAAGCCGCCAGGTCCGGGACTTGAACTGTAGTTGGCCATGTGGGAGTCCAGTGCCTTTAACTTTCATGCCACCTGCAAACTTCTACAATTCTGTTTTTTTTTTTTTTTTTTTTTTTGAGAGAGATTTTTACTATAGAATATATGCGCTCTCCAGAGAAAGACAGAAAGGGAGAAATCACCCCCCAGGGAATGGCCATGCCACCTTCCCTTCACCTTCATTCTCCAGATTTTGAGCATGCATGTACATGTGTACAGCATGAGTTTCAAGCTACTGGGTCCAAGATTCGAACCATGGGAGTCCAGCAACGTGGGAGTCCAACAATGTAATCATTATGCCATCTGCCGGTCCCAATTGGTCTTATTTTTTAATTGGTAGATTTCCTATGTTCCTACCTTCATCTTTATTTTGAAAGCATTCTATTTTATTTATTTATTTTTCGGTTTTTGCCATAGGGCACGAACGCCCACCAGATGGAAGACAGAGAGAGGCAAAGTGAGAAATCATCCCCCATGGGTGATGGCCATGCTGAAATCCCTTCTCCTTCTGGGATTTTGGGCATGCACACACATGTGCCTAGTGTGATTCTCAAGCTACCAGGTCCGGGATTCAAATTGCAGTTTGCCATGTGGGAGTTCAGATCTTTCACTACCACACTACCTGCTAGCCCTACTCCAATATTTATCGATGACTGCCAAAACAAGCCAGCCAAAGAAATTGCACACAGTCAGTAACTCATAATAATACTTCACAAAACTAATTAATCTCAATTATTTTTTCAAGACTGTTCTAAACAAAAACAACCTATGTCAATATAATTAGACTTTTCTGAAGTCAGAAAAGAAATGGTAAGGATATTGTCTAATATATTTTACTACTCTACCTAAACCATCTGCAATCTAAGGGACTCTTAATCATATTCAAACAAACATTCATTTAAATAATTTCAAATCTGCCCCAAAGTACTTTGTTGTTTTCTTGCTATCAATCTTCAACTACAAAAGAGCTCATCAACGTTAAACATACTCAGTCTTTTTTTTCCAAAGATAAAAGGTTTCATGAATATCAACTATATAAAAACATGCCATGTTCTCAATGAACAGAAAGAGAACAGTAACCTTTACTAGGAGTCTAAAATCTCAGAACCTACAGAGTATACCGCCCTCCCCTCCCTCCAATAAAAGGAATTTGGTCTGGGGACTATTTTTTTTTAAAAACGCAGAGTAAGTTAACTACAAAATATGGCATGCAGGGGGTGGCCAGCAGGTGGCATGGTAGTTAAGGCGCTAGACTCCTACATGGCTGACTGCACTTCAAGTCCTGGACCTGGCAGCTTGCTCTCTCACTTTCTCTTTCAGGTAGAGCACTTTCCCTATGGCAAAAATTAAAATCATCACCATAATAAATTCCATTTGTTATTTTTTTTTATTTATTTAACCAGACAGAGAGGTAAAGTGAAAAAGCAAGCCACTAGGTCCAGGACTGGAACCATGGTTGCCCATATGGGAATCCAGTGCCTTTATCTACCACGCTACCTGCCAACCCTTTAAATAATTCTTACAAAAATATATGGCATGCAGGGCCAATTCCACAGTGCAGTGGTTAACTAATGTGCATAAGGAGCTGGATTCCACAATGACTAGCTGTGGTTTGAATTCTAGGCCAGCAGCTTGAAAAACACACATTGTGCATGTGCACATGTGGCCAAAACCCTGACGGGCTGGACAAACAAAGGAGTAAGAATTGTAGTGTAACCATGCTCACTGAGGGATGCACATGCTTGCAAGTGTGTTCTTTCTCTAAATACACATGCCCTCTGGCAATTAAAACAAAAAAATTGAAGAGGTCAGCAGGCCATGCGGTGATTAAGGGTTCTGAACTCCTACATGGCCAACCGAGGTTCAAGTCTCGGACCTGATGGCTTGTTTTCTGACTCTCTCTCTCTTGCTCTCATTCTTGCTTTGTCCCTCTCTGGTCAAATTAATATAAGTAAATAAATAAAGTTAAACAAAATACTTCTTCAAGAAAAAAATGAAGATAAAATACAGCATACAAAGCCTAAACATAACTAAACATTAAAAGTACCAGAGCATATTAAATATAAAATTATTTGGGACCAGCCTTATAGCCAGTGGTTAACTGACCTGGATCCCACATGAATGACCATGTGGTTTGAGTCCTGGACTTGGCAGTTTGGAAAACACCCTGGGTGCGTGTGGGCACCTCCCAAGAGAAGGAGAAATGGAAAAGAGACTGCAATGTGACCACACCCCATTTGTGACCACACACTATTGTGGAATGGGGTGGGGCATGGTGCTTCTTCTTCTCTATGGGGAGTGCATATGCCCTCTGGCAAATTAAAAATAAAATGTTTTATATTTAAACATTTTATTATCTAATCTTCTAAGTAAGCAGCTACTATGGCATGAAGAATTCTTCCAAATTAAAAAAAACAGCTTGGGGCTGGCAGGGGGCATGGTGGTTAAAGGCAGTGTACTCCCACATGGCCAACCATGGTTCAAGTCCCAGACCTGGTGGCTTGCTTTCTTACTTTCTCTCTCTCTGGTCAAACTGGAAAATAATAATAATAAATAAAATTAAATAAAAAATAATTCTTTTAAGAAAAATGGCTTTTCCTACCCAATCAATAAATAGACAGGGTAAGAATCAAAAGGAAAAATAATCAGGGCCATAAAATGGCATGGTGGTTGGAACTCTGGGTCCCAGATGCAGACTCCATGGTTTGAGTGGGAACTAGCAGCTTGAAAAACACGCTGGGCATATGTACATGGCATGCTCAAAAATCATGAGGAGAGAATGGAAGAGAAGGGATTATGGAGTGGCCATACCCCATGCAGGGTGATTTCTCACCTTCCCTCTCTCTCTCTCTGTCTCCCTCCTGCACGAACATATGCTCCCCATGGCAAAAATCTTTAAAAAAAAAAAAAAGAAGAAAAGAAAACCTATACTCACACTAGGTTTAGCTTCCTTCCTAGAACTAAGGGTATACATGTGGTGGTAACAGCAGTTGTAATTGAGTTTTTCATTTAATTCTTACGATAATCCTACAAAGTAAATGTTACTCTATCTTTCATTTTCAAATTAAGAAACTGAGTCATCATCGGGGTCAGCAGGTGGCGTGATGGTTAAGGCGCTGGACTCCCATGTGGCTGACAACATTTCGAGTCCTGGACCTGGTGGCTTGTTTTCTCACTCTCCCTTTGTCTCTCTCTTTCTCTGGCTAACTTGAAGAATAATGATAATAAAATTATTAATGATAATAAAATTATTAAGTCATCAGTAAAGTCATGGTTAAAGTCATGGTCTATTTTCCCATGTTTTTCTATGCAAAAATGTATCATGACTTTCCTGACAACACTGAGCCATGATAAGGCCAGCTGGTAAATTTGATAGTTTATCACTATATGAATATTCATATAATCCTGGTAGAGCCATGATTTAAAACACAAACTAGAAAAGCATATCCTAAAATCTCTGCAAGTCTGGTTAAGTGAAATATTGTATTCACAGAGCATGATGATTGTCTAAAACGAATAATCTCCTCTTTATCCCATTTGCGTAAAATCCTCCTTAAAAGGCACCTGACAGTGTTGCACAGTTCTAGGGGTAGACAAAAGAGACCAACTTTTCTTTAGCTCACTGCAGCACTTCATTACCATCTCAAAGGGAGTTGTCTTCACTTGAACAAAATATACACAGAAGGCAAACAAAACAATTAGAAACTAAAAAAAAATGAATTGTTATTAAAATATATGTTCACTATTTCTCTACATCTATAGCTTAGGATTTCTGAGTCAGAATGAAATCCTGTTCCACCACTTATTTGTTGTATGACTCTGAGCAAGTTACTATAAAATGGGAACCAGAACGGCCTATCTATAGCGTGTGTATAATCATAAAATATAGTGCTTACCATGTACCAGGTACTGTTCTAAGCACTGTACTTGTCTACTGACCCATTTAATACTTATGGCAACCCTATGGATGGATGGATGTACACTATTACTATCACCTTTTTACAGATGAGGCACTAAAAAGTAATTTGCCCACATTCACATGGCCAGTAAGTGACAGCAGGATCTGAACTGAGACAGTGTGGCCTTGTATTCCATACTCTTTATCACTAGGAGTACAAACCTCATAGAGTTATTCTGAGGATAAACTGAGTGAACACTGCTTGGCCCAATGCCTGGCAGGCTGTAAGTACTCAATAAATATGACTTACTATTTCTTGACCTTAGCTCAAAAGATTTCTCACTTCTTTTGAGATCACTAATGACCTGAAGCCAAACCTATTAATTCTAATAACTTAATTCACTTATTGGGTTCTGGCTTGTGGCAGTTCTAGAGATCAAGAGTTCCTGACTTCTGACCAAAACTTTCCAGGTAAACCACAACAGTAAAGAAACAAAAGAAATGACCACCAAAAGAATTTTTCCAGGACAGATAGTACCCTTAAATATCGTCCTCAGAAAGGTTACACCTCTGAATCCACTAGTCAGGCATTTTCTTCTCAAACACTGGAAAAATTGTAGGCTTAGAGTGAGTGGCAGGAGCTAACTGCAGCCAACACCTGAACTTGAATCCCGACAAAAACAGAATTACTTTTAGACCAGCTAAGCCAAACACTGAGGTTGGAACCTGTGCGTGTTAGGGCTGAATCTTCAATCACCCATCCTCCCAGTAATCACGTAAACCGCTCCCTCGGCTTTTCCTTCATTTTCCCAATTAGCTAACTTTTGAGGCACGGACAAGGGGAATGCGTTTCTCTAGGCACCGCCTACTAAAACGACACTGATGAGGTCCTTGCCTAACGAACTGTCCTGACAGACGCTCCTGGGTGGCGGCCGCGGGTGGCCCCCGTGGGGCGCCCGTCAGAAACGACCAGCGAGCGGCTAGGGCCTGGGGGCAGT